AGCTCAGTGGCAAAGCGCCTGCCTGGCAAGCGCAAGGTCGTGAGTTCGGTTCCCGGTACCGGAGAAAAACCAAAAAAAAAAAAAAAAAAAAGACTCTAACCTTATTCCCAGTTTCTGAGGAACCATTAAAACAGTCTATTCTTCTAAGGAACATGAATGGGCCTTATGACCAGGTGGAATTAGAAAAGGACTCTAGTAGTATTTAGAAAACAAACTCATCCTTCCTCAAAGACACAGTGGAAGGCTATAAAAACCCTTCATGATATTTTCCATATAGGAAGAAATACTACATTAGAAATGGTCACTAGAGTTTTCATAGGATTAGGACTAGTGGCAACCACCCAACAGGTCTGCAAAGCTTGCCTACTCTGTGGCTACAATAAACCAGGTAAGCCTAAACCACCTTGTTAGAACTTGTACAGAGGAGAAGGACATACTCTGGAGAGGACTGGCAATTATACTTTACCCACATGCCACTGCGTGGGGGATTTAAACAGATACTGGTCCTAACTGACTCCTTTACAGGGTGGATTGAAGCCTTTCCTGTTCAGAAAGGTTATGAATATAATCAAGGTCCTTCTTAAAGAAATCATCCCTCAGTTTGGACTACCCGAGTCCCTTCAGAGTGACCTTGGGCCTCTTTTGCCTCTCAAATAACTGAGGGAGTGGCAAAGTCTTTAGGAATAAAAGACCATCTCCATTCTACATGGAGACCTCAGTCTCCTGGAAAGACTGAGTGTGCCAACTAGACCCTAAAGCAAGCTCTGGCAAAACTTTGCCAAGAGATATCTCAGTCCTGGCTTCAATTACTGCCAATTACTCTCACAAGGCTATGAAACATGCCCCAAACTGGGCTAAATGTGAGCCCATTTGAGGTGTTATATGGGAGGCCATTTCTATTCTCTGATATGGTAGTGGCACAGAGACCATGAGACTCTTACAATATCTTAATCTAGGTGAAGTTCAACAGGCTATCTAAGTGTATGGGGACAGAGCAGAGCTCCTAGTCCAGAGGGACCACCTAGTATCTCCCCACCTCAGACAAAGTGCTCATAAAAACGTGAAAAGAAGAAACTTCCACAGACCAATTAAAATCAAAATGGAGGGGCACCTTTTCAGTGATCCTTGCCACATCCACTGAAGTAAAAGTAGCAGAGATAGAAAACTCTTTCTATCTCTGGATTCATAATTCTATCTGGATTCATCTTTCTAGAATAAAGCCAGTTCCTTGAACTGACTGGAAAAAAAGACCACTCAAAGGGAAAAGCTACTCTTGTGAGCATCTGGAAGACTTGAGATTTCTCTTCAAAAAAGCAAGACTACAATGCTGCTACAGATAAGTAAACAGGATCTTGCTAAGGCCATGGCTCTCAGGCTCTTGATGATTTATCTGAGATGCTTCTCTGACATATGTTCTCCACAGGAAGCTTGGAAAAGCTGACCTGCTCCTCATATTTGGACTAATAGTAAATTTTCTTTCTCCCATCAAACAGGCAGCTCAGCAATCACTAATTCTTTTCCTGTTATCTCCTAACAGTATTTCTGTTCAACCCAGCAAGTGAGCCACACACCCAAGGTACTTAGAGAGCACATAATTCCCACTTGGTAGCGTCTACAGTCCCCTCAAGCCTAAAGATGCTATAGAAGGCAGAGACCTCCACTTCCTTAGTACCCCATAAAAAATTATGGGGAATCTGTGTCTCTCAGTGGGCAATAAAATAGGAAACAAGGGTGTGACTAAAACTGGCTAGGAGGGGAGGCAGGACAAGATCCCAGAACACTTGTGGAGAACAATTTTCGGAGCCCCACATGTGGACTTCTCGTGAGAACTTGAGCAAGTTTTTGATTGGGAGACCTGGCTGTGCTGCAAGCATGGGAAATATAAAAAAGAGACAGTCACCACTAAGAGCTCGCTATCATGCCTCCTCATGATAGCCCACCCTATACGCTAGGTTGTATTTTATTTTTATTTTTTCTCCCTTCATTACTTGGCCCAAACTCACTCTCCAGAGCCCATTTTCCCTATCTTTCTGTTTTTTTTCTATGTTTAATAAATGTGAATCTCTGTTACTTTTTGTGCTTATTTTGTTCAGTTCTTTGTTTGGGAAAGAAAAGGCCTAGAAATCATCTCTCAGAGAAGACCCCAGGACCCCAGAATCTGGTAACATTCTCACACTTCCAGCCTCATCCAACCCCACTCAGTTGTACCAGTAGCTGAGTTGTCCCAGAGCCACCACATAAAACCCAAACCCCAGCTCCACACCACCCACTCCTCTGAGCCTCTGCAGTGTCAGTGGTAGCCAAGCAGCTTCACCTTCAAGGGCCTAAGCTAAAGCAGCAGGTGAGCAATACCCTCTGATATGAGAGAGGGGCAGTCCCAACTCTGCAGGGTCCTCTTCAAAGTTCTTGGGTTCTGATAACTCCAGTCATTTCCATTCTTGAGCACACCAGTGCTCTGTTGTTATCTCTGAATGCTCCTGTCTTGTTTACTTTTCTATCATTGCTGAGACAAAATACCTGACACCCAAGATTAAGGAAGGAAAGGTTTAGTTAGCTTACAGTTCATGGAGGTTTCAGTCCACACTTGGTTAGCTCCAAGGCAGAGTGGCACATGGCAGAGCGCAACAGTTCATGGCCGCAGAAGATAGCAAAAAGTAATAAGAGCAAAAAGGGAGAAGTGGAAGAAGCCTCTTTCCCTCCCTTACACTGTATGCAAACTACCCACCCCAGGGCAGGTATAGCATTCACATCCATAATTCCAACACTGGACCATGAATCAATCATAAACTCTAGAAGCCTGCCCCATGACTGCATGAGGCTTTGGTGGACATCCAGACACAAACCATAACACCAGTGCTCTCTTCCACGTTGTTTATACTGTGACACCTGTTAACCATTTCTTGCATATTTCTCTATAAAAAAAAAGGTAGTATGGTTTCCATATTTTTGACTGCCCCTAGAGTGTGATGGGTATCTATAAGGGTGATTTTAAAGGGGAGAGAGCATAGGGATTTTTTGTGAGCAAACGTCTTTAAGAAACTGATTTAAGAAGAGTTTCTCTATACTAGGGCTTACCAGAACCTATGCATGTGCTACTGTACACTGCAATTTCCAAGGGAAGGACAATTCTTAAAATTAATTGAGCATGGAACCTGTTAAGTGTAAGTGTGTCCTGAGATTTTCCACAGGGCAAACAATCAGAAATGCTGGGCTGAAATAGTAGGCCGTGGAACTCCCAGAAAACTTTTTTATCATCAGTGGTAAAACACATGATTTCTTGTGTTGTCCTGCCCCACTGAACATACTCCCTTTAAAACAGAAAAACAGATTTGGAAGACCCACTAGCATGCATTTGTTCCAAATCAAGCCCCTCAGAGACACAGAAAATAAGAGAGGTAATTCTTTTAAAAAGGAAGTATCAATATTTT